ACCTTAAATATTTCCGTTCCTTTACATTTTACAAAAAAATATTTCAGACAAAAGTTGTATGGTTTCTAGAGGGACATAAGATGGTGCTATTAGTTTGACCTTGAAGAGTCACATGAAGGTTACGTGAAGGTCATTTTGAATTTCTTAAATGGAACACCCTATATATTTTTATATATTCTTGTAGCTTATCTTGAGAGCTTTCCAAAACACTATAAATAAACATTTTTTCATCAAGTACTTTTCGAGTTTGAGGCTCGAAATCATTTCTTAATTTTACAGAAACCGTAAAATATCTAGTAAAATATTCATTTTTCGATTATCTTACCTTAATGCTTTTATGTACAAAATAATGAGACGAGTCAATTGATGTAAAGAAAACATACAGTTGTTTCTAAGAAAAAATATGAAATTTGTAATTAACAATTCCATATTTTTTCTTAGAAACAACTGTATGTTTTCTTTACACCAATTGACTCCTCTCATTATTTTGTACATAAAAGCATTAAGGTAAGATAATCGAAAAATGAATATTTTATTAGATATTTTACGGTTTATGTAAAATTAAGAAATGATTTCGAGCCTCAAACTCGAAAAGTACTTGATGAAAAAATGTTTATTTACAGTGTTTTGGAAAGCTCTCAAGATAAGCTACAAGAATATATAAAAATATATAGGGTGTTCCATTTAAGAAATTCAAATTGACCTTCACGTAACCTTCATATGACTCTCCAAAGTCAAACTAATGGCACCATCTTATGTCCCCCTAGAAACCATACAACTTTTGTCTGAAATATTTTCTTGTAAAATGTAAGGGAACGGAAATATTTGGGGTGATAGATTCAGATGGCTCACCCTGTATATATGTGTTTGTATATGTATGTGTATTTGTATGTGTATGCATATATACAAGGTGGAATTTAAAGAGTTACAAGCTATTGGTCTATATTCTGAATTCTTTTTGATTCATAAAGGTGCCTCTAAAGGTGGCTCGTAACCAGTCAAAAGACTTATCCACTTAGCCAGCCTTCTAGAGGCACTTTTATTGATAAAAGAGGATTCAGAATATGGACCATTATCACTGAAAGTACACATTATAGCAAAAAATTTTTCAAACTAAAGTTTTGACTCTAAGAAAGATATAAGAAAAAGTAATTGTTTTGAATTTAGATAATTGTTTGAAGATTACATGAACGTCATCTTTAATTTCTTTAATGGTAAAACCTATTTATATTTTTTTGTACTTTACCTCGAGAGGTTTTGAAAACACTATAAGAAAATATTTTCCATGCAGTACTTTTCAAATTATGAGGAATAATTTCTTTATGTTACATAAACTGAAAAATATCTCGTAAAATATTCATTTTTCGATGATCTTATTTTTGAGGTAAGAAAAACGTAAAATGAATATTTCTTGAGATATTTTTTAGTTTATGTAAAATTAAAAAATTATTTCAAGCCTCGTAACTCGAAAAATATTATATGAAAAAATACTTTATTATAGTGTTTTGAAATATTTTTTGTTATAATGTGTATTGAAACAGAACTTGTAACACTTTAAATGCTTAACCCTGCATATTAAAATATAACAATAATTATTAGCAATAATTTTAAATTTATTTAAATATAATTTTTTTCAGTTTTTATATACTAATTTGTATAAGTGTACAGTGTGTTTCAAAAATATGTTTTTGTAAATTTCAATTATTTAAAAAGAAGGCGAATTAAATTAAATTGTAATAAATAATTCGATAATTAAGCTACAAAAGGTAATTTTATAAAAATGCTCCCTCTCTCAATAATTAGTTTGAAGCGCTTCCAAAAAATAGTTAATAATTGTATATAAAACTTTAGCTGTAATTTATTATTTTCTTCAGTCACACACTTGAAGAATTTCAAAACATTAGATAATTCTAAAAATTTTTTAGAACGCATTATTAAAAAAATAAAAAGCTACAGTTGAAATTCAACATATAATTATTTTTTTCATGGTTATCTCAAATCTATTATAGAGAAATAAACATTTTAAAAGTTCCTGCTTATGATGTAATCCTTGAATAAAAATTTATATTTAATTTGAAAAAAATTGTTCACGAAACATCAATCTAAATCACCATGTATAAAAATAATAACATATATAACATATATATATATATATTTATATACATATATATATATATATACATATATATATATATATATACAGGATGTCTCATTTAACTTGACACATCGAAATATCTTGTAAAATCTAAAAGATACGAAAAAATGTTTCAGACAAAAGTTGTATGGTTTCAAGGGGGATATAATATGGTGTCATTAGTTTGAGCTTGAAGAGTCATCTGAAGGTCATATGAAGGTCACAATCAACTTTTTAAATTGGACACCCTATATGCTTTTGCATATTCTTATAGCTTATCTCGAGAGCTTTCCAAAACATTATAATTAAGTACCTTTTCGTTAAATACTTCCTGAGTTATAAGGCTTAAAATCATTTCTTAATTTTACATAAACCATAAAATATCTAGTAAAATATTCATTTTTCGATTATCTTACTTTAATACTTTTATGTACAAAATAATGAGAGAAATCAATTGGTGTAAAGAAAACATACAGTTGTTTTTAAAAAAAAATATGGAATTGTTAATTGCAAATTACATATTTTTTCTTAGCAACAACTATGCATTTCTTTACACCAATTGATTCCTCTCATTATTTTGTGCATAAAAGTATTAAGGAAAGGTAATTGAAAAATGAATATTTTACTACATATTTTATGGTTTATATAAAATTAAGAAATGATTTCAAGCCTTATAACTCAAGAAGTATTTAACGAAAAGGTATTTAATTATAGTGTTTTGGGAAGCTCTCGAGATAAGCTACAAGAATATGCAAATACTGACTGAGTATCACGATATGACAACATGACATATGTCAACCTGTAATGCACGAGTCAGAAGTTGGCTATATCGCAGGGCCAAAAATGAAATGGTGGACGTCGCCCGCGATATTTTAAGCCGAAAAATCTCGTATAATATGTAAAATATTTACATTAAATCATACATCGTTATATTCGTTTCAAACAGCGCTACAACTTTTATTATATCAAAATATCTACATTATTATAAAAAAATTATACATATCTCTCCGTTCTTTAATACAGATAAATTTTGTAATCAACCACTGTACTTACAATAAAGTTCAGTTAAAGCCATTTAATTTCATATATATTTGTTATGGTCTATCTCTTTTAGTTTAAAAGATAAAAGGGGGTGGCCACTTCCAGGTGGTACACCCTGTATATATATGTACATACATATATATATATATATATATATATATATATATATATATATATATATGATGATTTAGAATAATGGTATGTGACAAATTATTTTCAAATTAAATGTAAATTATAATTCAAAGATTACATCACGAGCAGCAACTCAATATTTATTTCTCAATAGTAGATTAAAAAATAAAAAAATCATTCTACGTTGAATGTAAGCTATAACTTAATATTTTTTTATTATGCGTTTTAGAATGTTCAGAATTTCCTAATTTTTTTAAATTCTTCAAAAGTGCATCACTGAAGAAATAAATAATTACAGCTACAGTGTCATATATTGTACAATTATTAACTATTTTTTGGAAGCGCTTCAAACTCATCGAAAAGGAGTATTTTTATAAAATTATCTTTTGTAGTTTAGCTCTCTAATAATAAATTACAATTTCATTTAATTTGCCTCATATAATTATTATTTTTGATGTACTCACTTTTTAAACCATCCTCCTTTTGTAGAAAGTCGGCGAGTATACAAAGGTAAACGTTTTGAATTATATTTCACCACCATTGTACACAATAAAATAAATACTAAAGAAATACTGAGTAGATATATATATATATATATATATATATATATATATATATAATGTTCGTCAAAAGTTATTACGATCTTTTCCCGCGTTACTTGTTCTTACACGAACGGTACAAGTACTGTCGCTCAGTAACAGTGATACTAGAATGGATACTGACGAGTTTAGCTCGATTCTCGACTGTTTCACAGGAACGCCGAGTTATATTCAATGCAAAATAATTTGTTACCAGCATCATTGTTCAGTAAATATATATATTACATCCGCCGCGCAGTCTGATTCCGCGGTACTATAGAAAATAAAATTTTTATATTTCGCATTTCTGCGACTTGAAAATAGTTGCAATAGATTAATGAGAATTTTGCGATTAAAATGACACCAAACACGACATAAATCGAGTGATTTTTAATTAAATACATAATTAAAATTTTGTAATTAATTTAATTAAAAATGACCCGATTTATGTCATGTTTGGTGTCATTTTAATCGCAAAATTGTCATTAATTCATTGCAATTATTTTCAAATGGGAAAAGAGCGAAATAAAAGTTTTAATTTTTATGATATTTAAATCCCTAACAATTATAGATAAGAAAAGGAATCTCCGATTCGAAGCGAGAGCGAGAAGGAATAAGGAGCAAGCGAGAAGACGAGACATGAAAGAGTTCCGAAGTCTCGCTCGCCAGGCTCACTTTTTCTTATCTTCGTGTGTATACATGTCAATTCATTATGGAAAATAAAATTTTTATATTTCGCATTTCTGCGACTTGAAAATAGTTGCAATAGATTAATGAGAATTTTGCGATTAAAATGACACCAAACACGACATAAATCGAGTGATTTTTAATTAAATACATAATTAAAATTTTGTAATTAATTTAATTAAAAATGACCCGATTTATGTCATGTTTGGTGTCATTTTAATCGCAAAATTGTCATTAATTCATTAAAATTATTTTAAATATATAAAATTAAAAGTGTAGAAAAATAAAAATTGTAATTTTTTACGACCAAACGGCGCGACTATCAGATAAGATAAGCTCTTTCAGTTTTTCTTCGAGCTCGCTGGAAATAAGAGAACATCGATCAAGTTACGTTTAAACAAAAAAAACGGTCAACAATTGTTCACGTGATGCGCTCAACGGTTTCGGCCCGAGTGCTCGTGCTGTGCGTTGTGTCTGGCAGTCGTTATTCGTCTCCGAACCGTGTAAGTTCCTCGCAAGCGAAGAATAATGGCTCGATGTAAGTACTTTTATTCTCAATATGTTTAAATTTACTCTCTTTCTCTCTCCCTCTCATTTTGCTTTTTTGTTTTGCTTTTTCACAAATTTATTGATAAAATTAATTGATATAAATTTATTTTCAGCAAAAAGCGAGGGAAGTCTACCCGCTGCAAGCTACGGGAGACCGGGGCGGAAACCTGGTGCGCCGGCGGCGGTGGCGAGGACGTCGACGGCGCTGGCGACGATGCCGACAACGGCGGTGACGATGACGCCGACGACGGCGATGGCGACGACGCCGACGATGGCGATGACGACGACGCCGACGACGGCGATGGCGACGACGCCGACGATGGCGATGACGACGACGCCGACGACGGCGATGGCGACGACGCCGACGACGGCGATGGCGACGACGCCGACGACGGCGATGGCGACGACGCCGACGACGGCGATGGCGACGATGCCAACGACGGCAATGGCGACGACGTCGACGACGGTGATGGCGACGACGCCGATGACAACGGCGATGGATAATACCAACGCGAAGCCCGGACCACGACAGAATATGAAAAAGGTTAGTAATGAAAAGTTTATACATATATATATATATATATATATATATATATATATTGCGACGTTTATTCAATTGAGATTCAAAATGAATCGCGACACTCCTCGAGATGTTGGATGGGAGTGTGCGCGGGGGAGCGAAAACGCCGTCAAAAACAATAACGAAATTATTGTACTCGCGTTCTGAGGAACAGGGATGGAGGACGTTCTCGCGCGAGCCGCGGCGGAGCGGAGACCGTATCGATATATCGAAAAGCTGGGCGCCAGATGCGGTCTTTCACGCATCAGTTTTCGCGAAAAAGCCGAAAGACGTTAAAAGAAAACGATAGCCTGCTTCGCCACGGGCCGACTAGCTCGCCTAACGGTAGAGGGGAGAGGTTATTAGAGAAAGTTAATTGATTATGCGAGTCTTCGCGAAATTAACGGACGACAGACAAAACGACAATCGACAACCAAGCGAGACGAACACTTAAATAAATTACGCGATTTGAACAAAAAAAAATAACAAGTTTATTACTAGAAAATTAAAGTAACACTGCGAGTGATTAATTAACAAATCAATAACAAGACTTGAATCGGTTTTGAACAATGACTCAGCCAACAATATTAAGCGATAACTTGACTGAGATTCACAATTCCTGACAAAGATATTATTTCGCTATTACTTCCCCGCAATGCGAGAACGAATCGTACAAATAACAAAAAAAAGACGACGCTGTCCGACAAATTCAAACGAACTACAAGAGCGAAAAATACCATATAATTAATCCTGGCCCAAAATTGCGACGGTATTCTGAGCGAGTATCCGCTCGAATCGACAATGAAAATGAGAGCGCTAATACTATCCGGTTATTTATCCGAGCCCGTTTTTATGGTCGGAGTTCGCAGGACTGAGCGAGGCTTTACGGAATAATAAGAATTTTCGGTACAAAAATATTCGCGGATATCCTTCAAACGAGAGCATAATTTCTATAGCCAGATCTACCACTTATCGCAACGGAATTTTCCCCGCAATTCCCTAATTCGCGGAACAAATCGGCAGCTTAATAATTCGACAACATAATTAACCGAAAATACGGAATAATTTTGCGAAGACGGATCACGTATGCGATAAACGAACGCTATTCTCAAGCTGTTATAGCCGACGACAAACGGAGAATTTTCTCCGCCGATATCTCGCTTCTTTCTTCCGCCCGAATCGCTCAATTTTACTCTCAAGTCTCTGGCGATTATCTCGCACCACAATAAATTCGGTAGACGCTACATATTATTTATTACGCGCCATTCGATAGCGTAACAAGCGCGACAAAGACGACCATAATCTGTTATTCTTTATTACGCTCTTTTCGGCGGCGTAATAAGCGCGACGACGACGCAATTACTTTCACGCTCACTCGACAAAGAAATACCCAAAAACGCTCACACTCACTCTTACAATTACCGACGACATACACGCTATTAGACATCCAAAAATCGCCCTGAGATACGTCACGGGATATTCTACGCGGCGACAACGGCGGTACGACAACCCGTGCGGTATTCGCTTTCACGATCCTTCGCGCACGCGGTCGATATTCGCCGGTCGATAGCTTCGCGTACAGAACACCCGAAACCCGGAGAGAGACGAACGTTGCCTTATCAATTTATCGCCGACGTTACAATGGTCCTTCCTCGGTCGCTTGCCTCCGGTCGCCCGACAAATCCACGAAATATCACCGTCTCGGCAAACGGCTCGAGCGGTCGCGAAACACGAAAAATATGGCGACGGCGGCAGAACGGCCGGCACGCGGACGAAATCGCGTACGTGGCTTTTACGAAAGGATGGGCAACCTCACCGATAACACGTCCTCCTGCTGGGGTGGTCCTCGGCTTCGTCCTCGGCTCGGTCTCTCAAGATCAGCGACACACCAAACGGGTCTTACACAGCAATCAAAACGACTCTACCAAGCAAGCGTCCGCACCAGAATGATCCTGGGATCTCGCGGCCCGGGGTCGATAGCGGCGTCAATGACCGCTTAGTGGGGTGCGCAGCCCCGCGGCCAATCAGGATTCGGCACGCGAAAGGTCCTAGCGCCTCGCGAGATCCGCGGCGCTTTTCGCGCTTCGCGCGCAATTAATTCAATTTGAATTATGTAATTGCTGTCTCGGGCCCCGGTACAAGGGCCCGTTGGAGGCTCCGCTGTCGACGGTCCTCCTCGGAGGGTAGCGTCGGTCGGACTCCTGTCCTCCTTCCTGGGACGTGGGTAAATTCCCGTGGTATCGTCCTTTCATCCGCTATTATCTCCTCCGTGCGCTGTCGTTAAGCGTCCTGCTGCAATCTTCCTTGATGTGCTTCCGGTCCTCCGGATCTTCTCCGGCGAGGTGCCCGTTGTCGTTTATTACAAACAAAGAAAAATTCGATACAATTAATAACAATCTTAATAAACTATCGATAACGCTCGTCTCTCCGGGGATTTTTAGATAACGCTCTCTCGAGGTTGATTCTGGCGCGGCCGCTCGGCCTGCGCCCCGTAAAATCTCGGGGCGGATGGACGCTCTAAAGGACGGCAACGTCACAATATATATATATATATATATATATATATATATATATATATATACACACACACACAGGGTGTCCCAAAACTCATAATCAATCTTTCAAAGAGATTCCTGTGATCATTTGGAGACGATTTTTCCTCAGTAAAAATGTCGATAAAGACTATCATTTTTTGCATGTTTCCAATTTTTGTCATATTTCTTTGCAGCCTTAAATTAAAACTCAACTAAAGTAAACTCTATTTCAAATTAATCAAAGAATGTGATTTTGTTAATATTTTATTTCTACATAGCTTAGTTTACGAAAAACCCCTTATTTCCAATCACTTATAATTCGAAAATTATTAGTGCCCCGACATTTTCGTTGAGGAAAAATCGTCTTCAGATGATCTCAAGAATCTGTCTTTGAAAGATTGATTATGAGTTTTGGGACACCATGTAGAATATTCCCAGCAAACACAGAATATTGCAGCAATATTGCGACAATATTACAACATTGCAGCATTGTTGCTGTAATATTCTATATTTGCTGGTTGATCATAGAATTGTTAATTGAATAAATAAGTTAAATTATATGTATTTAATTAATACAAAAATAAGATTTAATTTTTTTACAAATTTCGATTCAAAACTTAACTATTTCCTACTTTCGATCCAATTTCAAATAATCTATTTAATATTTGGAATCCCTTGTTGAGATTGTACTAAAAATTAAACTGATGAAAAAAGATAGACATTGTAATATTGCTGCGACATTGCTGCAATGTTTTGTGCTGTATGGGATAATATCCAAAATCTTTATCTTTTTTCATCAGTTTAATTTTTAGTACAATCTCAACAAGGGATTCCAAATATTAAATAGATTATTTAAAATTGGATCGAAAGTAGGAAATAGTTAATAGTTTTGAATTGAAATTTGTAAAAAAATTAAATCTTGTTTTTGTATTAATTAAATACATATAATTTAACTTATTTATTCAATTAACAATTCTATGATCAACCAGCAAATATAGAATATTACAGCAACAATGCTGCAATGTTGTAATATTGTCGCAATATTGCTGCAATATTCTGTGTTTACTGGGAATATTCTTGTATGTGTATATATATATATATATATATATATATATATATATATGTCTTGTTGAAAATAAACGAAAATGTAATCTATATACATATATGTATATATATATATATATATATATATATATATATATATATACGTGTATATAGATTACATTTTCTTTTATTTTCAAGAAGACATAATACATGTAACCACATTTGTATATATATCAATATATTATTATTATTATGCTTTTACTTTTTAAATAATGATATCTATATATATTATTTTTCTTTTTTTCAGCGTATCAATGAGGCGGTGAGGCGTGCGATGAACAGGCAAAGAAAACGGGGGCATAATTACTCATATATGCCTCCTCCGCACTCAGGATTTGTGCCCATATCTGCGGCACAGGCAGGATACGTGCTTACGCCTCCTCCGCACTCAGGATATGTGCCGAATCCTCCGGCACACGCAGGATTTGTATCCACGACTCCGGCACACGCAGGATATGTAGCCACGGCTCCGGCGCACGCAACATACGTCTCTGCGCCTCCGGCGCAGGCAACATACATCTCTGCGCCTCCAACGCACGCAACATACGTCCCTGCGCCTCCGACACACGCAACGTACGCCTCCGCGCCTCCGACACACGCAACGTACGCCTCCGCGCCTCCGACACACGCAACGTACACCTCCGCGCCTCTGACACACGCAACGTACGTCTCTGCGCCTCCGACACACCCAACATACGTCTCCGCGCCTCCGACACACGCAACATACGTCTCTGCGCCTCCGGCGCACGCAACATACGTCTCTGCGCCTCCGACACACACAACATACGCCTCCGCGCCTCCAACACACGCAACATACGTCTCTGCGCCTCCGACACACGCAACATACATACCGCTATAAAAAACAGTGAATACAAACACATAAATATGTATGTACACATGTACACTGCGCGACAACGATTCGTTCCGAGGTCCCTCTCGCGAGGCAAGGGGAGCGTAGCTTCTAACCAATCAGCCATTGCCACGCTGCCAGCTGATTGGTCACTTCTACGCTCCCCTTGCCCCGCGAGAGAGTGGCCACGGAACGAATCGTTGTCGCGCAGTGTACACATTTACACTTATGATTCATACTTATCTAATGAGAATTTTTCGTCATATGGAACACGTGTCTGCGCGCACACACACACCCACACACACACACACACACACACACACACACACACACACACACACACACACACATACTTATATATTATATAAATATTTATCTTTGTGTACATTTGTATGTGTACATTAAAAAAAAATATATAAATAAGAATAAATACAAAGTTAATTTTATATTGGTTTTA